TTCCATAAGTTCATGTTCGTTTTTTTATCCGGCTTTACTGCTTTCGCTTTCGTTTTCGTATTCAAATGTGAAAATAAAAACGATTGAGAGGTTTTCCGACCGTTTTCATCCCTACATATAGCTAGCTAGCTAGTGATCAGTGACTACAAAACGCACGCAAGCCTTCAGATGATCACTTGGCGATCGACACACCATGTTAGTCATATAGCTAGCTAGTGATCAGTGACTACCATATATACTTGCACAGAAGCATGCATCATGATGTCGTCCATTCTAGCTGGTTGTCACTTTGCTTTCTGACCCTACTGGCAGTTTTGGCGTGTACGTATATACCATCATGCAGCTGGGGATCGCAGATAATGGTATCCAGAAAAAGTTAAGGGCAGGAGAAGACTCTTTGGTGTGCTGATGATGGCAGCAAGATTGCAGCCGGGCTGGTATACAGCATGTCCCTTTTAGTTTATATTATTTGGCATATATAAAAATAAAATCCTTCATCAGATAGAGAAATGATTGGTTGTGGGTAGTAGATATGGGCATTATAAATTCACAACAGGCGATCCTTTCTGATTTCTCCAGGGCAGAGAAGAACCCAACAAAACCACACGTACTACCATGAGATTAATAATTTACTTATTTGTTTACATAAAAAATCAAACTTAGCTTACAGCTAATTTGTCAGTCTAAAGGCAAAATAGTACAAGAATTCCGCGTGAACATTTTAATCAGTTGTGTTTTTTAATTATTTTATTGTCGTCATGTGGGGGCATTCTGTTTGAAGCAAAATAAGGTTTGCTTGCTCCCGGTTTGGTGGCAATGATCGCAGGAAAAGGCAAAAGTGATCAAAGGGCCGGCTTTACAGGAAAAAGCCTATCAGTCCAGGATAAAAAGTGTCAGCCGCGCTAATTATAACTTTGTTATGATCACTGACGGTGCACTTCCAGTAGTACCGCTGTGTAATATGAGCCTGTAAGGAGCGCGCCAGATGTAGGAAATCAAATAGTGCGATCCTTTTCTTTTCTTTTCTTTTCTTTTCTTTTCTTTGGAAGATGGCAACTCAGCTGCTTAACTAGATGTCTGGATCCATGGAAATATCTTCAAGGATCATGCATGGTTACACGAGCACTGTGATGCTCTCTATTGTCATAGCATGCATGTCTGAGGACTTTCACTGAAACGTGAGAAAGCCTTTCAGACACATGTACAGCAAGCGTGAATCGTCCCAAAATTAGTCCTAGGAAAACTTGGAGAGTATTATTTTAACCAATGGACTGGTTAGGTGGAGGCCATCATCTACAATAAAAATGTCATTTTTATCCCACTGATCTGTCTTGAATTCTGAAAAAGTGTCACTCTGACTAGTCACATTGTGTGTGGATGCTCCAAAATACCATGTCAAATAGGAAAGAAAAAATAAAAGAGGTGACAAATGAAAAAGATTTTAAATTTAGGTGTAAAATAGAAAAACATGTCAACAAATAGGATTTTTTCTCGTACCTAAACTAGCCATCTCATCTGGAAGCTTTTGTTTTGTAATTTTGGGTAAAGTGACTACTGAACTCCTCACTCACACCTCAGCGCTAGCGGTCGTCAGTCAGGCAGTCAGCACTCAGCAGCAGCATGACTACCCAGTCGTTCAGTACCAGTCCCAACTCCCAACCCTGACGCGGAGCCACCATGCTACGGCAACGCTAGCTGTCCCTACGCCGCGGCCACGGCCGGCCGCCACTCACCCTACGGCAACGCTAGCTGTCCCTACGCCGCGGCCACGGCGTGGAAAGTCTGAACTGAACTCATCGTGCCGCCACACCATAGTGCACACAGCACAGCACAGCACAGCACAGCACAGTTCTGAGCATGCAGCAGGGGCACTGCACTGCCGCTTCGCTTTGCTTCATCTGCACTTATCCCTAGTCACACACACACACACACACACACACACACACACACACACACACACACACACACACACACACACACACACACTCACGCTCGCCTTTGCTTCGATTGCAGCCAGCCAGCTCCACTCCTGGTCTCCTGCGCACGGACGACAGTCCAAGAACACCCGGCTCGATCAGGGGACAGGGAAATCAAAATGCTTTTTGCTCCATGTCATCTCCTGCTGCATCACCCACTCGTGCTGCTGGCTCGATGCGAGTGGTCGAGTTGGTTTGCAGAGCGTACTACTCCCTACCCCCTACCTGTACATGCCTGCCCTGCCAACAGCAGGAGCTCTATTGCACGTAGCGTCGCCTTTCGGCTGCGCTCGTCGTCGTCGTTGCTTGAATGCTTGCTTGGTCAGCAGCTAGCCGGTCGGCCGGTCTCCGCTTTCCCTGGCCGCCTCCCATTCCCATCCCATCCCCTCCTCGTCACTACTCCTACCACCGTCGCGTCACCGTCACCTCGGTCTGCGCGCGTGCACGCACTCCATGCCTCGTTTCGTCAGTCTCCATGGATGAGGACGAGGAAGAATTGGGGATGCACGCCGTGCGCAATGCATGCAACGCCTCTCCGGTCGCGTCCAGCAGCAACGTGATGATTAGTAATTGGGAGAGATTGTTGCCGCCTGCAGCCTCGACGCGAGCAGCCCGCCCGGATTCGGCTCTCGGCTCTCGTATACGCACGCAGATCCTACGACAAGCTCATCATGCATCGCGTGCTGCGTGCGTGCGCCGTAGCCCGCAGAGAGGACCTCGATCAGTGCCTCCGTCCTGCTGATACGGTGATACCCATCGATTTGGTGACCAGATCCTCGTACATGCATGTAACCGATCCCAAATCTTCATGGTGATTTTTTTGAGGAATAAATATTCATGCTGATACCATCATAACAAACGCACGCATGCATGAATGCAAAATGAAGAGGAGATTTTGAATCTTTTGCCGCCTTTAAAGAATAGCGGGCTGCTACCATTCTTTATCTGAGTTTACAAGTGGTGAAGTCGGAGTTGCTATTTTATAGGGTTCAACACTTTAGAAGACATGTTCCCTTGTGGGAATGGGAACATAGAACGAACGGAAATTGAGGTGTTATTTTATAATTTGGGAACGTAAATGTTCCTGAATCGAAAACGTGGACGTTCACGGAATGATGTTATAGGAACGAGGAACGTGGCCATGTTCCACGTTTTCGGTTGATAAGGGTTCAACGATATATATGATAAGCTACGATATCTTCCAAGATGTGTTGTGTATGCTATGTGTAGGTGGCGGTGTTTGGGTGGGATTGGTTGAGGTTTGCTTGTGGAAAGTCAAGTCGTTGGTCGTTTTTGTGGTAATGAAGCTCAGCAACGATGACACATGACCGACTCTATCATGGATCTTTGTTGGGCAATATAAATTAGTGGGATGATCTAAGGTTATTGTCCGAACTATCGTGCTATTTTTTTTCACCGGTTTCTTTCTAATAAACCGTACAGGTGTAAGGTTTTAGGGCTCAGCTTCTCTCATAAACTGAGTTAATTAATTGAATAGAAGGAGCTTCATTCCCTCTCCGAAGAAGAACGCTATATCCCACACTGCATGCATGCGTTGGCGTGGCAGAGCAGATCACGCTAGAGCATGTACGAGGGGTTTGCTAGCAAACATTTCACATGTGAAAAGCTTCTTGCGCCATGGAGAGTGGTGTGACCAACCTTGCATAATATCCTTTCCATCCGGCTTGTTGTTGCGCTCGACTCGGCAAAAATTTCACATCAGATTGCATTTCTAAAACTAAACCGAGCACATGCGACTTCTTCATGGCTTGATGCGATGGACCAACTGAATTCGTTGATCGTAGAGTCGAGCGGAGCCGCCCGAACGAGTAATCATCCCATGCACCCGTCGTTAGACGACAGAGCTGCTTTAATTTCCCGTCGACCGATCTCCGCGATGGCGACGAACACGTGGTGGTTTAAGCAAAGTTAGCATCAATCGGTCGAATCTCGAATGGAAAGGGGCCGGGCCGGGGCTACCGGCTACGCGGACGATGGAGGTTGGGCAGGCACACGTGGGGGGCCGGCGCCATGGCTGCGGTCGACCGGCAACTAACCCTTTTTCCTGGCGCATGGCGCACGCCTCGAGCCGCGCCTGGATTTGTCTTGCTCCCGCGGACGAGCGACGCCCCGGGGGATTCCTGCCTGCCTGGCCCCTTCGACCAAGGCTCCTGCACGAACCACCGCCGACTGGCAGGGCCGTCCTGCGGCGCTGGAGTTGCACACCCGGCCAGTAAGGTCCAGCGAGAGGAGACCCGGAATGGACACTCAAGTTGCAGTGCGAACTGCGATGCCAAGTGTTGCTCAAAAAAAAAAAATGCGATGCCAAGTTGACAGAGACACGCACGGGTGAGGGTGAATGCAAATGAAATGACTGTAATAAATCCCAGCGGCTATTCATCCGTTATTTTCGTTTTCACATTTGCCAGTTGTGTCGGGCCCACCTCCCTGGACGGGTCCCAGCCATTGCTGTCCCGGAGCACTGTTCTAAGATGGCTTTGCCTTCTCGGTTGTTCGTTCTCCTTATCGTCTGGTGGCAGCCAGAGCACGTGGATGCAATATTTTTTTTTAATCACTCCTGTTTTTCTTTTTGACGTGTCGCCCTTCACAAGTCACATCCTTGGACGATTACCCTGACGTCTTCTCTCAGATTTTTCGACGGGGTTGTTGGATCGAGCGATGAGAAGAAGATCACTGTCGATCGGTGCCGTGAGCTGTGTGCTGTGCTAACCGACAGACCAACAGTCTATCATGGCGAGCAGATCCAGACATTCTTACGAGTTGATGTTGATCTATATATCTGCATCTGATATATATCTGTTTTATATATTCATATGACATTCTTACGAGTTGATCTATATACAGGTCTAGTAGTAGGAATATGAAATTGTACATGATGCTAGAGAGCAGAGAGCGGTAGCATACACCTTAGTGTCACTGGGAGCTGGGCCCTGGCCAATATAAACAATCTACAAAGAATACTAGATCTATCTAATGATGCTTCAAATTCCAAGTTTCGGCAGATCAAAACCCTTGGTAGTACCCGCCGAACGATATGCTTGCCCGTGCAGATGATGCGCCTCCCGTGACCGACGACATGGTCTGGTTCAGCCAGGAGGCCTGCTGCACAACCTGCTGGATCCTCTGAAGCACATCGAACAACCAAAACTCTGTCAGTCAGAACTCCCCATTTCTCTAGTAGCAGATTCTTTTCAATATTTTTGCAGCAAGGGATAAGTGGAGCTACGTTCAGTGACAAAAGAGAGAGAGAGGAAGGTGTCAAGTTTAAGTATGCAATATCTTAATCCAAGAACATGCCCTTGGGAATGTCCCAGATATATACTAAATCAAACTGCTGGATTTCTAGAAGGCATCACATCAGGGAAGAGCCACGAACCTCGTCGTCAGCATACATGTGCTGGAGCTGGATCTTGTGACCCTGCCTCTTGTGCAGTTGCTGCTGCTTGCCACCAAGCAGCAAGATGCAGAACGTGGCAGCTGCAACCCCGAACGAGCAGAGCGCGCCGACACCATTCACTCTCAGGCTCCCCATGCCGAAGCCAGTCTTGCTGACGCCTTCTTCTTCTTCTTCTTCCTCCTCCTCCTCCCGAGCACACTGACTGACGCCATCAGGTGCCGCAGCTTCAACCAGCACGTCGCCGTCCTGATCGGCCTCTTTGACGGACTTGATCGTCTCCTCCTCCTGTTCTTCTGCTTCGTAGACCAGTATCTCGGCCACCTCGCTCGCGAGCTCCTCCCGCTCTGGTTCGACCGCCACGACATCAATGTCCTTGTAGTCGGCTATCGGATCACCTCCATAGGCATCTTCTGATGGTAGCAGCAGGAGTGGTTTCTTGGCTTCCTCATCTAGGATGCAGTAGTCATAGGGAGGAGGAGGGTGAGACGACGTAAGGCCGAAGTGGTCCATGTCGATCACGACCAGCTTCGGCACCGAGCAAGAGCTGGTCCTTACCACCGACAACGCCATGGCTGCCATTGCTGCACTCCGAGCCCATGAGGAAGGAGCTCCTGTGGTCAGGCAGGAGGAGCTCCCAGTCGTCAAGGCTGATCGCGTCCATGGAAGCGCCTCTGCTCATGCTCATGGGCGAGTTTTGGATCAGGGATCTATATAGTAGGACGCTTGCAGCGATGATACCTAGAGTGGTCAAGAATGGATGCTTCCCAGGAAATAACACGACTGGTGGCGCGGAAGGATACTTTTGTTTTTTTCTGGAGGGAAACCGCCGGTGGGAAGTGGGGAGTGGGAACAGGGGCACTTGCTGCCTGCACCCGGGGAGGGAGATGGGTAGATGTAGATAGCAAACCAAATTTGAACAGTTTTTGTGTGTGTGTTTGGGCTTAGCCTTACTGCTAGGTGGCAAGAGTGAAAATGTCCTTTGGGGCCTACCACTGCCCACTGGGGAATGCTTCCTTCATTTTTACTCAAATCACTTTTCATGTTTCTGTATGTACGATCCAGGCAGGACAAAAATGTGAAATGTTTGGTCTCCTTCATATTAAGAAAGAAGTACTCTTTATGTTAGTGATTTAAAATCTACTTAGCTACACAAATATCAAATGGTTATAGTAAGAATTTATTCTTATTCTCCCAAAATAGTTGCTACCGATTTAAATACTGCGTCCAAAGGTCAAGAAAAAGACACAGCAGCGGAAAACAAAACCTACGGTAATCTTATTTAGACAGCCTTAAAATAGTTCACAATATTTTGTTTTCCAAACTAAATCTCATCCGGTGGTGCCAGAATTTCCGAGAAAAGTTACTCCCTCTGCCTTAAAAAAGAGTTATTCTTGCTTTTCAAAAAAGTCAATAACTTTTAATTTTGACCAAATATATTTAATAAAATATTAATATTTATGGTACATAATTACATCGTTAGTACCATTAGGTTATAATCATTTTCGATCTTTTCAATTCATATAATGTTTTCTCTCAAAATCAAATCAAATTTGAAATAGTGTTTTACTTATTTTTTTCAAAGAGATAACGGGACCTCATGTTGATCATTGAATATACTTTCATAATAAACTTATTTAGAGATATAAATGTTGCACATATTTTCTATAAACCTAGTCAAAGTTAAAAAAGTTTGATCTAGCACAATTTCAATAACAACTTTTTTTTTAGGACAGAAGGAATACATGCTCAATGTTACTTCGTAGTCATATTTAGACAACATAGCAAACTCATTAAATCTTTCTCTATCAGCAGTTGTCTTGTCAGAATTAGGGTGCCACTGCCACCAAATCCGGATACACGTCCAACATTTTCAAGTTATTATGGGAAGGGTTTCTAGAATGTTTTATGCAAGTCAAATAAAAAAAATTCATAGAAAAGCAGATAACAGAGGCAAGTCAAGCAAAGGATGCGATAAACAAAATTAACATGAACAGAGAAAGGAACATATTACGTGCCCTTGTTTAAGTTCCTCGTCCTTAAAGTTTAGTCATATCACATCGGATGTTTTGACATATGCATAGAGTATTAAATATAGACTAAAAAATAACCAATTACACAGATTACGACTAATTTACGAAACGAAATTTTTAAACCTAATTAGTTCATGATTTGACAACGTGGTGTTAAAATAATATGTAAAAATAATGGATTAATTAGGCTTAATAAATTCGTCTCGTGGATTACTGAAGACTTTTATAATTTATTTTATTATTACTATCCGATCACCTCGATACCCATCCGATATAACACCCTAAATTTTAGCATATAAATTTAAACATCACCCCGTACAGGAGACGCCCGTACCGTACTGAAGCTTCGGCAGAAATGAAAGAGATGTGACCATAGATAGCGAATGATCATGCTGGAGAAGAATCATGCACGCAGCAATGTAAACCTCAGAGACAAAATTTGTCAAAAGAAACAACAAAATTCAATTGAAAAGAGAGTAATTCAGATTTCACATGACCTTGTATCTTCCAAACATTATAGTGAATTAGTGACCTACACAACTAAAGATTGGGACTGAGTTCCACAGAGTAGGGCCCAGCTTTGCTCTTCAAATTTGAGTATAATAACAAAGTGAAACCAAGTTCTTTAATGGAGATTACAGTGTAAACTACCAATACAGCACCACAAACAACAGAGAGAAATCCTAAAAAACCTACTAAGATGTTCATGATACATGGCCAAATAACTCTAGTTAATGGACAGGAAGATTAGGCGTTGCATCAGCAAATGCAGAGGTATTCCTAATATACAACAGCACATGATGTCCTCAAAATTTACATGCCTGTAAGGTTTCCCCACTTCCTGACTGCACAGAAACAGTGCTACATAGCAGGATGGGAAGCAAAGATTAAATAGTTTTGCACCATGTGAGCAGCTACCCTAACAAACATCTCCAAAATGGCTAAGCTTGTCTCGGAGATGACGGTTCACCCAGTGAAACAGAAGCAAATGAAGAAGCCCAAGCTCGAGCATTACTAGCTCCCTTCCTCAAGTCCGTTGCCTTGTTGCTCAGTCTCAGCTTGCTCCAAAGCCTCCTCATATCAAGAACATTCAAGGCTCGTTCCAAGAGCTGGTTTGATCCCCTACAGATCCCTAGGTTCAAGTTTTGGACACGGACAACTAAGAAAGCTCTCAGATGAGACATGACAACAGGTATGAAGTGCGCTGCAACCTTCAGGATGATAAAAAGAACAGCAACTAACAAATACAGCTCATCTTTGGCCATTTCACGCAGAGAATGATCCCATGGCATAACTGAGCTCAAGCTTCCTGTGCTCTCTTGCTGGACAACATCAATATATGCAATTGGATCGAGACCTGCAGCAGGAAAACACCCTTCAGAAATAGGCTTTCAAGTACTATAAACAAATCAGTGATATAATTATCCACAAGACCACAAATGTAGCATCCGCCAATTGCCTGTTTAGTAGTTTGGAAACTGGAGTTATAGAGCATGCCTCATTGCCCCTTAAACTATCACCCCATGCCGCTGGTGTACACATAAGCATCAATCATTTAAAAAGACCTCAAAGAGTAGAATGTCATAGTAAGATTGCAATCTTGGTGCATGGCCACATGGGGGTCAAGAGCATCATGGAGATTATTCATTCAAGGGTACAGCTGATTCACCATTAGACAGCAGCAATAATTTCCAAGGTCAAGAACCAAAAAGAACTTATCCAATTTATAATAGCAAAGCAATAATTATCCAAATAAGTTCCAGTAAAGGGAACCCAGTGACTGTATGCTCAATCATAAGTTTTCTCAAGTCTCAAGTAAAGCATATTTGAAAGAATTCGTGGTCATTTAATAAAGCTATGTATGCATGAACAAGGTGAGTAACAATGGTACCTGTAGTCTCTTTATAGAAATCGACCAGAGAGTTAAGATCTTTTGAACCCTGATATCGAACCATTGTAGTCTCATTTACAAAAAGAATGGCTGGGAAACCACGGACTCCATATCTTGAAAACAAACTACAGTAAGCAGATGCAGTACAATGAGCTATATAAACCCACTGAACAAACAATGTTTGTTCAAGAAGGGACAAACTGTCTCAATTCAACAGTCTAACACTAACGAGTTCAACATTCACAAACCTTGGTGTAGCAGAAGATTCTTCAACAGCAAAGTGATGTATCTGAGGGTACATCGTGCTGAGAGCTTCAAATGTTGGTCGGAATTTGCTCGAAAATGGACACCATGCAGCATAAAAGAGAATGGAGTATGAAGCACCCCTCCTTCGAAGGTTCAACTCAGTATCAACAGCCTCTCCTCTCACCTTCAGTAGAAGACAAGGTATATAAGAAACTACAACTTTCATAATTTGCAATACAAACTATCCACATTCATTGCACTGCCAGAAAATTTAATTTATTAATCGTAAACAAGGCACTTCGTCAAGTCAAAATATGCCCAACAGCGGCTAAAAGGAAAAGATGGTTCATTGATCTGCAGAAAATTAGCGCACACAAATTGCAGGGTGTCACCTCAGAAGTAATAGTTTTAGGTTGACACTACTTCCCATTTCAGTGCCACAATTAACCAAAAGTTAAGTACACGTAATTTAACCATTCGTCTGACAAATCCTATTAAAATTTGCAATACAGCTTTTCAGCTCTGTAAATAGGTGCACATACTATCACCACCAATCAAATATTGAAACATCATAAAATATATGCCACAAGTTTGGTGGAAACTTTCAAAATCACTGCATGTAAAGTAGGTTTTCACTTTTCCTAAAAGTTTAGATATATCTAGTCTATCACTAATAAACTGAAGTTTAAATTTTAGAATCTTAGATATAATGTAGAGAAGAAACAACTAATACTGCCAGTGCCAAGCATGAACACATAGAACATCCAGAAGTCAAACAGCACTCATGTTGCACTGTCTAACTCCACTAGCCTCCTTTTTTTTTGACAGAGGTACACTAGCCTTCTTCTGTTTATTATATTGGCCAATTGCATTCATCAACAAATTTTCCACGCCAGCAAAGGTTTATTGAGAGACATGGATTACTCATTTGCCATGGTTTATTGCATAGTCGTGCTTCAAAAGGTTCCCATAGTACTAATTTTGTTGTTTCATCAGTTGTTAAAGAGGGATGGTTAATTAGTAAGGCACAAGATTCGCACTTGGCTGATAATATTTGTGGCCAGAAAAAAGAAAATCACGGCATCTTTGCCTGTCACCCTCTAATATCGCCTGGCTAGCATGCAAATCGTATATATCGACGGCAGATTAAAAAGAAAAACAGCGCTTCGCCACTAATTGCCGCGTTGATATGTAACGATTTTGACAGGAAGAGGCCGCCACCCGCGGTTTAGTCGCGGGCTGGTTTGGTTCGCCGATTAGGCGGTGGATCTACCTCGAGAGGCGGGGACGGCTCGATCCGGATGAAGGGGCAGCGGGATCCGACGGCGTCGAGGAACGGCGGCGCGCCCCTCCGCGCGCACGTGCCCGCGGCCGGCGACCCCGCGGCGGTTGCGCCGGCAACGGCGGCGATGAGGGCGACCGCAAGCGCGGCGGCGGCGCAGCGCATCTTCTCGCGCCTTCTCTCCCCCCTCCCTCCTCTCTCTCTCTCTCTCTCTCTCTCTCTCTCTGTGTCGGTTCAACTTCTACCGCTTCGGAATTTTCTCCGCGTGTGGAGGCTGGATTTGGCGAAAGCAAAAATCCGCGAGGTTATTTTGGGTGCGGGCGCGGGTGGTGGTGGCCAGTGGGGACACGTGCGTGCTGCCGCCTGGTTGGCTGGGGCGCTGCAGCTGGCGCCTGGCGGCTCACTCACCTCGGGCAGGAGACAGCGGGGGCCCACGATGGGCAGCGCCGCAGCGGCTTTCTTTCTGCGTTTCCGGGACCACCCAATCAGAAAAAAAAAAGTGAGCGAAAATGACCCAGTTCGTGGGGCCTGAATCCGACCGAAATGTTGGGCTCGGCCCATATGGTGTCCTGCTCCGTCCCCTCTCTCCTCTCCGCGAAGGCGCAAGCGCAAAAGGGTGCAGCGCCGACTTCACGATGCAGATCCTCCGGCGGAAGGTTCTGGAGGCTTCCCGCCGCATCCCTCTCTTCTACGCTGCGCACAGCGGCCGCGCCCATGCGGTCGCCACGCTCGCGGGCGCCGCCGCGCGGTGGGCCCCGCCCGCCACCTCGGGCTCGCTTGCCGCCGCTCCGTGGGCTGCCACCCAGCGCCGCGGCGCCAAGATGCTCGGCTCCGACGTACGCACGGATTCCCCTGCGACTCTCGTCTTCCTCTATTATACAGTTAACTAAGCACATGCTTGTTATAAATAAATGCAGGTATAAAAGGGTCGTGCTGGATAATGGTCTTACTGTGCTTGTAAGTTACCGGCCACCATTCTGTAGTGTTTCCTTTATAAGAGTGCTGTTCTCTTTATATGTACAGAAACAGAACTGATTTGTAGTTGATGAATTGGCACAGCTTTGCACTTTTCTATATTTTCGCTTAAAGTTTATGCACATAAGCCTTATTCTCATGATTCATTTACCTCTTGCACTTTTTGTTCTTTTGTTGACTAAATTTTGATGCCACCATAAACCTGGTGTTGGCCAGGTAACACACACAAGTGGGGAATTTTAGTTCTACCAGAGGGCAGCTGGGCCTTAGCCGCTTATTCTCATTTAGGGCGAATGCGGGAAAATTCTCCTGTTCCTGTGTTTTTCCTGTGAAATTGAACTGATTCCTGTGCGATTCCTGTGAAATTCCTGTGCGATTCCTGTGGAATTCCTGCATTCCAAACAGGCCCTTATAGGAAAAGCAAACTTGGGATACAAGAAGGTCCTCAACCACTACAGTATATTCTAACTGCATAAAGTAGATACTACTTAGATGCTAAGGCATCAGCTGAAAATAGCAATACAGTAAATAGTAAATAGCTAAGTAGATAACTAGATACATTGAGAGTAGCACTAGGCTTAACCCTCACCTGGTTGGTTCACTTGCTTGTTTTCATTAATGTGGCACCTTCAATGTACCAGAATATAAGTTACTTCTGTCTTGAAATTTCTCTGGATGTTTAACATATTCATAATGATTGAAAATTTATAAACATGGACCTTTATGGACCTACTATATTTGAGCTATTTCTTACTAACATTACCTTTTGCCTTCATATTAGGCACCACCTTTTATTGAAGCGGGTGAGAAGATTGTAATCAGTACCGCCGATGATTTTTATATGACGAGGTACGTCATGGTCTGATCATTTCCTTATTATATCATTAAAATAATTAAAAGAATACTGTTAAACTTTTATTATCTGCATTGGTTTGTGATTGCGATGTGCCTGTCTCTTTGATCTTTAAATTCTTGATATATGATTAAAGCGTTCTTTTTTGGATTTCAGAGCATGAAGGATACCGTGGGTGACATTTTGTTCTCCCAAATGAGAATTGAGTACAATTTAGTTACAAGGATAAGTTTGCACTCGTGCAGTTGCCATAAACAGTCAACCTTGGCCGACACCAACCAAGAACTTAGTTATTAGCCAATAACCATACATTTTTTGTACTCACAGGTCTTCTCATTTCGTTCCTCATTCAAATATTTATGCAACAGAATCCAATCATGGCAAACCATGGAATCTTTTTTTTTGGAACAGCGATATAGAAGCTATTTTGGTATAGATTTGCTGAAATTATTTGTATTCTCTTGTATGGCTTACTGTTGCGCCGAATGCATGGGTTTGATTGTCTGGATTTCATGCAAATAAATACTCTCTCCGTTTCAAATTATAAGTCGTTTTGACTTTTTGGGTACATTCATTTTGCTACGTATCTAAATAAATAATATGTTTAGATACATAGCAAAATAGATGAACCAAAAAAGTCAAAGCAACTTATAATTTGGAACGGAAGGAGTACGAAATTTTGGCTGTTGATTCGTATCTTACGTATGAATTCGTATTCAGTACTTTGCAGCAGAATATCAGGTCATATCTCCAATGAAGACAACTTATTTATTATATACAGTTGCTACCGTATCAAAAAACTTGGTGGGCATCCTACACGTTTCTAATTTGCATTTTACAGTAAAAACAACAAACTCCTAGCAACAAAAACCGCAGGTATTCCTGGACGCGTCACTTGTAGGCGTGGATGTAATCTTGGAAGTAGAAGTTTTTCTGGATGAAGTTAGCAAGCCATCGGGACGCAGCGAAGCACAGCACGGCCGCCGACACGACCGCGGCCCTCTGAACAGTCGACGTGACCAGCGTTCCCTTGGCGACGGCAAGAAACCCGACAACGGCGACCGAGGCAACCTGCAGGACAACCTCGAGCGCCTTCATGGCCTTCAGCGCGGCGCTGCAGCTCGTGCACTGCACCACGTGCGACCAGTACCTGTCATGGACATCATAGTTCAGATGTGTTTTGCTGAACTCTTTAGCGACCGAGGCCAGTGTGAAGATTACTGAATTGTTTACCTCTCCATGAGCTGATCCTTGGTAGGTGTTGGTGGCACCTGATCGATTTGTGGGGTTGCCCAGCCGATCTGATTCTTGGAGAATTTTCTGAACCAGTTCCTGAAGGCGACCACCATGCTGTCCGCCGACGTTGGCACATAGCAAGCTTTCTGCCAGTTATCGAGCCCTGCTGCGGCAAATTTACGCTCCTAACAAAAGGAATTCAGCAGACAAGAGTTACAAAAGCCTGAATCACTAAGCTTTGAGTATGAGATAGATCGAGCAGAGTATAATCTAGATGTTTGTTGTGCCTGACACTGACAGAACTTGAGTTATGTACCTCAACGTGGAGGAGGAAAATGTCTGAATCCAATACAAGATTCTGGCCGACGTGGTACAGCCACCGTGGTGTGATGTGGTGGAGCCAGACCCCAATGTTCCTCGGGAACGCCCAGATCACCCTGCTTCTGCCAGCAGCGACCGGAATGCAGAAGAACACCAGCATGACCCGAGGCACCTTCTTCTTCTTGTCCTGATCGACCACCAAGAGGCAAGAACAGTGAATTCCTTCCTGTATCACTTGCATTGACAAAGAGGGAGGGGATTCACACCTCTTCTGGAAACGGTGCGGCCAACGACGTGCAGGGCGCGATGAACTGGAAGTAGCCCCGCTCCTGCGGTGACACAAACCCTTGTATGTTTGCCTGCTCGATCTTCATCTTCGCTGGACCGCCACCCTCTTTATCATACTCAACTGTGAAGAAAAATAAACAACTCCTATCAGCTATGCAGCATGCCAAGCAACAAGCATTGTCATGAACTGAGTAAGCCCAACGAATTCTATGGACTGGCAGAACAACTTCATTAGCAATGCCAAACATAAGAGAAGATACTCGTGTTAGATCAGGGACATATCTTCCAGGATCTTCCTTCTTGCGGATGCCGCGTATGATCCCCTTGTGTGCATACGGGACATGGGCAGGATCCAGAAGGTTCTCAATCAAAACATCATACCTGCAATGTAACAATGCCACAAACTATGACTGAATCGCTAATGTTCAAATGTGCGATGCAGGCATGCAGCTGGATAGATCCTGGGATCAAAACTCAGAAAAAAAATGAAATGAAAAAACTGGATCCTTTACCCGTAAGGGAGGTCTCTGATGCCATAGACGGTGACGAACTCCGGGTCGTCGATCTCAGGGATGAGTGGCGGCCGCTTCCTCTGCAGCACGTCCTTGTGCTCGGGGTCGGCCCTGGGGTAGAACCACAGGATGTTGTTCTGCACGACGCAGGGGTACGACGCCACGCACGCCTTGGGGTTCGTGTGCACCGGCGGGCCGAGGGCGGGTGCCTGGGGGATGAACTTGCAGGCGCCGGCGCCGTCGAAGCACCAGCCGTGGTACACGCACTGCAGGCGGCCCTTGTCGTCGATCCGGCCCTCGGAGAGCGGCGCGAGGCGGTGCGGGCAGGCGTCGTCGAAGACGCGCCACTCGCCGGCGCCGCGGTCGTACCAGGCCACGACGCTGAGCCCCAGCACCGTCTTGCCGTGCGGCGCGTGCGGGTCGAGGTCGCACACGGGGGCGAATGGGTACCACTGGTCCAGCCAGTCGAACCGCTCCTTCCCGGACGGCGACGGCGACGGCTGCTCCTCCTCGGTCCGCGGCGTCTCGGTCGCCACGGCGGACACCGACAGCCGCGCGGGGCGGCGTTGCAGCCGCCTCGGCACGGGGCGCGCGCCGCCGCTTACGTTTAGCCTCCTGCATCTCAATGGCGCGGCGGCCGCGGCCAGCGGGAGCGGTGGGCGCGAGGCGCGAGGGAGCTGCAGGAGGGAGAGGGGGTCCATCGTGCGGCGGCGGCCGGCGGCGAGCGCGGCGGAAACCCGGGGCAAACTCGGCGGGGTTCTGGGGAGCAGGGAACTCGTGGCTGTGGTTTGGCGGGAGTCGTGGCGTCGCGGGGACGGGGACGCGGCTCCTGTGGGCCGATTTTTTTACATTTTACTCTTTTTTATAAAGTTTAGCATAAATAGACCCTGACGTAAAGAATTCTGAAAATGAACCATTAGCTCGACACCATTGATATTGGCGCCAAGCTAACACGTCTTGGCGTCAGCGTCCCTAGCGCTGAGCTCCTGGGCTCGGTAGATGACATCGCAGGGAGCTCGGCGCCAGTCAACTCGGCGCTGTAGATCTTGACGTCGAGCTCGGCGCTAGAGTAACTGACACCGAGCTCCCTGCCATTTAACCCAGCCCAAGCTTCGTGCCCGAGCGTTCTTCCTCTTCTTTCTCCTCTCTCTCGGGTTTTTTCTCTCCCCACTTCATCCTACCTCACGAATCGACATATTGGACTCTGCAAACTTTTATTTGATCCGTAGATCTTCGAGAGCAAAGTATCCTCGCTCCCCTTCTAGTTTTTTTCCTATCGATTCGGTATATATTAGTCGGATTTTTTAACGTAATAATCGTTATCACTTAGGGTTTCATTCTATCCCTCAATATATGTATTATATAACCGTTGGATGATGTCAAGACGTGAAAAAGCTAGCAAACCTAGGCGCATATAGTTATGTTATGGGTTCATTGTTGTGCATCAAATGGGAAATCCTAGGTTTAGGGTTTAATGTTAACTACTTTCGGTTCTTAGGACAAAATTGGTTGTATTATAGTTATGGTTCTCATTGACATTTATTTGTGATGTTTTGATTTATGTTTGTTAAATTACATCTGTTTTGTTAGATGCAAAAAATGTTTCGGGAGGAGTTTTGGCGAAAACGGGGTCGTCCTCGAGAAATATCCCGACGCGTCTAGCAAAGATGCCCCCGTCCCTCCTGACCTCCTTGTCCCTAACTGTGATTGTGGTTTCCCGGCCTATGTTTTTCAATAGAAACATCCGGACACAGCGGCGCGTTGTTTCTACACATACAGTTGTTTTAATATAAGAAATTATTTCCACTATCATTTTTCTTTATCTGTGTAAGTATGCTACTAATATTTTGTTGGAATCTCATTGTGTAGGACCATGAGAGGTGTTTTTTCTTTTAGTGGATTGACGGTGCAGACAAGTTTGATCCTAAGTACCTCTTTTTTGATGATTGGTTTAGAGTGAGACATCCACGTGAGCACTTCAAGCGGTGGGTTCCACCCCCTAACCCTCCGCCAATAACGGCTAAGGAGAAGCACCTAGCTGTAGTTAGACGACTCGATGAACCTCCTCTGTACGATTGTGGAGATCGAGCTGTGATAAATTCTGAGAATACGTTGAAGTTTGTGTGTCTAAATAAGCATGAAGTAAGTGCAAAGTGTATGTGTTGAAATATTGAGCTATATGTGTTCATGTACTAATGTCTACTTATTTAGGTGTTTTCAATGGCGAAGTGTCATTTAAAGGAGTGGTTGTATGGTCCTAAGAACCAATGACCGGAAGGACCGCGAAAGGTTAAGGAAAAGAAGAAAGAAAGAGTAATTTACAAAGCACCTCCTGTCATGTGCGAATGTGGTGTTAAATCTAACTATGACCTAGTTCCTTCGAAGCTTGGAATATGCCATTATTGCGGCCATATGGTTGAGTATGATGAGGTTGGTTATTTTTATGGTAAACATGAAATCATATTTTGTTTCTTTTACTAAGACATATATGATAGAATTTCCGTTTGAACAGAGCACTAGGAAATACAGGTGGGAATATTATGATGGTCAAGCTAAGTTCTTGGATGAACTGAAGAAGATGCAAGTAATTGTACGGAAGAGGGGATATACACCTGACTACGTCAACCTATTCGTTAAATATCACCAAAAAAGATGCTTGAGTTTGCTAGACAACGTGGTATTTATAATCTGATCGATGTTGAGCTTAACAAATAGGAATTGGAGAGACGGATGACGTTAGAGGAGGAGAGGGCAAGGAATGAGGCAAGGGATGAGACAAGAGTACAAATGTAGGTCTTGAACGAGCATGTTGTTGCATTATGTGCCAGTGAGTGGTTGAAAGCATTTTTTTGGTTGCATGATTAGGCTTAGCATATTTCTGACAGTCCTGGAGCGTGACTGTCATCTCCTCGAAAGGTAGGTGGAAGTTGTGAGTCTCCGGCTGCCACCTATATTAAAGACAAAGCAAGATTACTTGTCAAAAAGTCAATTGCATGAACAAATGACTATGAATGGAGGCAATGATTTAATTTAATATCTGTCAACCAACGCAGTTATGGCCGCTGAGTTGAACTTGGGCAACCCACGACGGACCTGAAAAGAGATGACATCCAGGCCAGCTCTTTGCAGAAAAGAAGTGTACCTGTCGTCGTACCGCATGTCCAAGAACCCACTGTGGGTTCTAGGATGAAGGAGCGGAAGGTCTTGCATCGAATAAAACATAGTCTCCTGTTACTTCACGAACACATGTACGCTCACCAAATTTTGAACAAAACTTATAGATTATTACCTGCCCCAGCGCTATGAGACGTCCTTGGTGGGTCGCCTCATACGTCGGGGCGAGCAGGTGAAATTGCTCCATCCTAGAAAAAAGTGAATGAATTAGAATTTCAATATACAATGAAACATGAACTTAGAAATGTATAAGTAATTAACACAAATACAATCATAAAAATTGAGACATGCATAATTAATTAAATGATTACGACAAATATAAAATAATAAAATCAACAAATAGTCGCACCTCACTAATCTGCCAATGGCAACTTCGTGAATTGTGGCCAAGTTTACCGCACTTACCGCACTCGTACTGCTCGGGGTAAGTAACAAATGGAGTTCCTCTCCCACGCCTCGATCTTCCGGGCGCGGCGCGGCCGAGGGCGGCGGCGGAGCCCGGCTCTGCTCTGCTAGGTCGAGAGAGGGAGAGGAAGAAAGGCGCGGGGCCCACAGGTAATAAAGGCTCGGCGCTAAGATCTACGACGCCGAGCTCGGCGCCAGAGTGACTGGCGTCGAGCTCCATGCCATGTCATCTACCGAGCCCAGGAGCTCGGCGCCAGGGACGCTGGCGCCGAGACGTGTTAGCTCGGTGCCAGCATCAATGGCGCCGAGCTAAGAGTTCATTTTCTGAATTCTTTCCGCCAGCGATCTATTAGTGAAAAACTTAAAAAAAATGGCTAAAATATAAAAAATTCGGTTCGGTCGGCATACCATGGGCCAGGCTACCATGCACTTGCCGCGGATGGATTCGTCTTTCCCGGTCCAAAGGAAGCGCCTGCATATTGCATCGATTTCCTTTCTTGCCCAAGGCGGCCGGCCGTCCGCTATCATGGTGTAGACAGGGACCGGCGAGGACGGACTTGATCCATACTAGGCGCCCGCTACGAGCCATGAGCGGCGCGTGACATGTCGGCAGCCTTCTTGCGACGGCGTCGACGGTGGCCTGAATCCGTGTCCTGGGCACCTTCCTTGTGCTCAGCGGCAGACCAAGGTAGGCAATTGGGAACTCCACCAGCTGGCAGCCCAGGATTGATTGGAGCTGCGGCAAGCTGTCCTGGTTGCCGAAAACCATCGTGATAGAGCATTTGCTGAGGTTAGTTTTGAGGCCCGACGCCTCACCGAAGATCCTTAGGATTTCTTTGACCGCCACAGCTTCCGTAGCCTCTGGATGGACGAACAGTATGACGTCGTCTGCATATAGGCTGCAGTGGTGTTTGATAGCTTGCGTCTCCATTGGCCGGATGACCCTTTGGTCGCGTGCAGTGGAGAAGAGCCTCGCCAGGATCTCCATGGCCAGTATGAACAACATAGGCGAGAGCGAGTCGCCTTGACGTACTCCTCGCAAGTGTTGGATGGGTGCCCCTGGCTGGCCGTTGAGGAGAATCCGTAAAGTAGCTGATGAGAGCAGCGTTGCCACCCACCGGCGCCACTGGCTGCTGAAGCCGAATGCCCTTAGGGTGTCCAGTAGGAACGGCCAGGCGAATGCTTGGAAATATCGAGCTTGAGCAGCACTTTTGGGATCCTGTTCTTCCTCAGGTACACTGCCGCCCTTTGCACGAACTTAAAGCTGTCATGGATCGTGCGGCCTCTGATGAACGCGTTCTGATTTGCTGAGATGAGTTCCGGCAACTTGGGCGCTAAGCGCGTGGCCATCAGCTTGGAGGCGAGCTAGCTTGCCGAAACTGTGGATCATGGTGGTCGGTAGTCTGCTGGGGACGAGGCACCCGGCTTCTTTGGGCAGCAGCACCACGAAGGCGTTGTTCAATTTGTGGAACGCTCGGCTGTCCCCGAAGAACAGAGAGTTTAGAGCGGCGATGACGTCTTCCTTGATCACCCCAATAAAAATAAAATCTTGTCCTATATGCACATCATCCTTACTACACATGTACCTGTATGTACATCATTGTTGCGCACAGCGGAAAAGAGACAATAGCACTAGCATGCTTCTAGGTTATAGTTTTAGTTTGATCATCGCCGTCCTTAGTTTTTTTTTCTCTTTATTTTTTTTACAAAGATGCTGGAAAGCATCCTCCTATATATATAACTTAAAAGACATAACAAGTCTCCATAATTTTGGTCACTTTACACATAATTTATTTTTTCGAAAGAAACATGTAGGATCTCCCCCTGAACGCATCACCTGCACACGGCCGCCGACGCCATCAGGAAACGACACATCACAAAAGGTTCCAGTGTTTGAAGTTTTGAGCCACCAGGCCATGCATGTGCATGGCGTGCTCGCCTATCCAGAAGCACATCTTTCATCTTTGGTCTGAACTCTGAACCAGTGGTAGCTGCTGATCCGCTTGCATTTCGCTGGTTATCGCTGTGCTTTGTGAAGGCGATGACCATGCCCGTCTGACGATGTGGGCACATAGCAAGATCAACCTCAGCTCCCTGCTCCCGGCTCAATCTTTTTCACGAGCCGAGCCGAGTTGCATATCGAGCCGTCAGCCGAGCCACCTAGGTATCCAGCCCTACCTGCCGTGCCGTCCTGTCCGTGTCCGGCTAAGGGGAAAAAAAATTCCCGAGTCCCTTCCGCGTCCGGGTCGCGATCGCCGAAGAACCCTCGCACGAGGACCGAAGGAGACAAAATCGCATCTCCTCTCCTCCCCTCCTCTTCCCGAGCTCCGGGCACGCCGCGCCGCGCGACAATCAGGTCGGTCTCCCTAGCTCTCCCCTCCCGAGATTGGAAAAAAAATGCCCTGCTCGTGCTTCGTTTTCGAAGGGCGGGGCTCCCGCGGGAATGGGGGGCTCGGTACGGCCGGGTGCTGGCGGCGCCCGATCCCAATGCTGCCGGTGGCTTGTCGCGTTCTCGTCGGGGGCGTCGGGTCTCGGGGATTCTGTGTTGCCATGGTCCTTTTGGATCCCTAGGGTTACGGGTATTCGGCTGTGGGCGGGAGGCGTCCCTTCGCCTGCATTTGTTGGGATGGATGTTTGGAGGGAGGACAGGGGACATCGGATAGGCGAATTGAGTAGCTATGGATTGTTAGCCTTTGATCATTGGGTCAATAGGAACGAGCTCCTTTCGGTCTTCGGGAACGGGGTCCATTTCTCTGTCCCAAATTCGTGTTTTGTATATCTAGGGATGACATGTGACACTAAAAAGGTGATACTGTTCTTCAACATTAGAAATTAGTCTACCGTTTGTTCTATTTTCACTTCCTTTGTATTCTATCATGCACATTCTGCTTTGCTCCATGTTAAGTTCATGTGGTCAGAGCTTTACATCAGTTGATGGTTTGTCAAAATAATTGGCAGGTTATCGATTTGGATATATGGACAAGTCGTCTGAAGATACTCAGTGAAATGGATAAGAAGAAAGCGTTCGATGACACTGAACCAGGACCAGCTCCTTCTCGTGCAGTCGACAGATTTGGTTTTATAAAGCCAGAACAAAGCAACTCACCTGATGGAATTCCAAAAGGCAAATCTATACATGAACGTGAAAGGTATGACCTGCCTTACAAGACATGTATTATCGGAATGTGTTGGCTGTATGAGATATTAGGGTCATTGTATCTTCTTGTTTCTACCAATTTGATATGTTAGTCTATTCCAATAGGTGGTTGTAAGATCATCCTAGATTCTATTTTCTTCTTTCTAGCAGCTCTTGCTACATTTCTGTGCATAAGATTGGGTCTTAGCTTGGTCAGCACTTACTGGTAGAATGGTTCTAATACATTAGACTGCTTCACTGATAAAGTACACTTTTTATTACTACTTTTCTCATGCCTCTGACACCATATTATCATTCTTTTCCGGTATCAGACTATTTACTTGTGTAAATCAGTTACTTCTCTTACTGCACCTTCTGACCTTCCTTTTTATTTCTCTAAACAAGCCACCTTACAAGGTCCTTTTATTCTATTTTCTTTTTTCTGTTACTATAGGGAGGAAAGAAGGATAAGAAAATGGAGGAAGATGATAGGTGTTGGTGGTAGTGACTGGAAGCATTATGTTAGAAGGAACCCTCATGTGGTTAAAAGGCGAATAAGGAAAGGAATTCCTGATTGTCTCAGAGGACTTATTTGGCAGTTGATTTCAGGCAGTCGGGACCTCTTACTAATGAACCCAGGGGTTTATGAGGTACCCATAAGGATCCTTTTTTTCTTGCATCTTCTGGCATTCTATATGATTGTGATTTGCCTAGTTATACTAGATTGAGAAACAGGGGAACAAGTGAACAGCACATGAAGTGGCATACATGCATTATTCAGCCTGTTCGCTTGTTGGTTTCAGCCAGGGCTTATCAGCCATGGTATAGTATTTTCCTCTCACAACAAACCAGCACCAGCCGGGCTTATCAGCCCAGAAACCAACCAGCGAACAGGCTGATTGTTAAATAAAATATTTGAACTTTTTAAAGATTATATATATACTCACATCAACATTGGATCCTATTGAATCCCATTCTTGAGGTGCAAATTTGTACAGATAACTCCACCATGCTTTTATTGACTTCACTGAAGTTTGTGGCTAGTCTCTTAAGTCCTGATAGTTTTGAAGGAACTAATGCCCTATTTTTTATAGTTTTGTATCTATTACAGTTTGCATTTATATTTCTTAATGATCAGAGTACTATGTAGACTAGTGCTCTCGCTATTGATATATATTACTCTTATTTGTATCATTGCGCTATACTTTGGGCAGACACTGGTGATATATGAGACATCGGCCTCTGAATTGGAAATTATTCGTGACATATCACGCACATTTCCATCTCATATATTCTTCCAACAAAGGCATGGTCCAGGCCAAAGATCCTTGTATAACATTTTGAAAGCATATTCTGTCTATGACAGGGATGTTGGATATGTGCAGGTTTGTGTTGAGTCCAGTGACCTAATTTTTGGATACAAAGATCTCTCTTGAATAATATTCTATTGTTTATACAATTCATTTAACAGGGTATGGGATTTATAGCTGGGCTGCTGCTTCTTTATATGAGTGAGGAGGATGCATTCTGGTTATTAGTCGCATTGCTGAAGGGAGCTGTCCATGCACCAATGGAAGGCTTGTATCAGGTAATCGTTATTATCTTGGGATTACATTTGGATTTCCAGTTGTTATAATTTGAGGGCTTCATAATGCTTGTTTCATGGCTGTCTTTATTGTCTATCCTATCTGACGTATATAAATTTTAAACTACTAAGTAGTAAGTAAAATATTTTCCTGGCTACTCGTATTCCATCAGTGTTCATCTTCAGTTTTGAGTGATTAGTAATGCTGGAGATGCAAAATTGTAAAATTTCTTCTTTTCTTGAGTAAACTTACATACTATAAACTTCTACTGATCTGTTTTTACCCTTGGAACAGGCTGGTTTGCCGCTCGTGCAGCAATATCTGTCTCAATTTGAGAAATTAGTTATGGAGCTCATGCCAAAATTGGGACAACACTTTGTTGAAGAAATGATAAACCCAAGCATGTATGCAAGCCAATGGTTTATCACAGTTTTCACGTATTCCTTCCCATTTCATCTAACTCTTAGAGTTTGGGATGTGTTTCTTTATGAGGTTAGAATCTTATCCTGCCATATGTGTCTTTCGTGTTTAGATTGCATCTTGGTTTATTTGACTTTTCTTTAGGCATTATTGCTTCATAAATAGTATACTCTCTTAGTACAACTCCTTTCATTAGGAAACCCCACTGGTTTACATAAAGAGTTTTGACTTAAGATATACTACCTCTGTCCACAAAAGAATTCAATTCTAGGTGCAATCTTGGTTAACGTGTCTAAAGTTTGACCAAATATATAGGTAAAAATATTAATGTTTATGACACCAAATAAGTATAGTATGAAAATATATCTCATAACAAATCTACTGGTACTTATTTGATATTGTAAATTGTAATATTGATATTTTTCATTTATAGTTAGTCAAACTCAAGATACTTTAACTTGTTACTGTGCTAGAATTGGATTCTTTTGTTGATGGACGGAGTAGTTATATGAAATGGATTGTGCTACTTTTGTCAATGGATTGGTTGTTCCTTTTCTCAGTACCCTTTTCATGTGCGACCAAAACTTTTTGGCTTGAAAGTTTATTTCATATGATCAGGTTATTGTTTAATGTGTTATATTCATTTGAATTTTTAGGTGCTAATCTACCAATCTGTAGTTGATGTAATACCAAAAAAATACTGATTATATCGTGCACTTTCTGATCTGGTTGCTATTTCTTATTTCTGGTTGATACCTAACAGGGTATTAAGGTTGTATTCCAAGTTGGATTGGCTCTATTGAGATTCTGTCATGATGATTTGGTTAGTATTTTGTATCTTCTTCACTTTCGCTTGAGACCATATTTGAAACAAATATTGAGAAATACTGAATTGCTAACCGTCAGGTCAAATTACCTTTTGAGAAACTGCTACATTCCTTGAGAAATTTCCCTGAGGAGGCAACAGATCCAGATGTCATATTGCCACTTGCCTTCTCATTTAAGGTAATTCGCTTCTTATTGCGCAAAACTTGTGTTTACATGGGTGCTTGCTTTTGGATAAATGTGCTCTTGCATGTATCATATTCATGTGTTTCTTTTAATTTTCCTGTCATAGCAAAAACTAAAAGTTGACCTGTGCTGTTTTCTGAAACTATTTGCATTTGTTGCCTTTTGGCTTTGGGTTACAATGTTCTGTCTCCCTTTTATAGTAAGATAAGAGAACTCATTAGTATGGTATAAATTAAAGGTACTATACTACTATATCAATTCTCTTAGTATAAAGTATTCTTTTAACCTATATGTTTCAGTAATCTTCTTTATGTGACTTTAATGTTGATGCATCTGTTTGCTAGCCAATATTTCCAATACTGTGGTGCTCGATTAGTTTGCAATATAGCATGTTGCACTGTTACCTCTGTATTTTGTATTTCACTTGTGTCCCAATAGAGCATTGAAGTAGCAAATTTAGATAACTGGACCCCAGCATGTTAGTTGTCTCGCTTTGTTACATTCAGACGTGAAAGAAAATCTAGCAAACTCCATCTGCTTTATCTGGGTTTCATTTGACAGTCATGAAAATCTGCCCTACATGGAAGCTAATAAATACCATGGTTCTGTTGTATTTTTTTCAGGTATCGACTCGTCTTGAGGAGCTTCAGAAGGAGTATCAGAATCCAGGGGCAGGCACCAGTGAAACTTCAAGTAGCAAGCGGCTTCAGCCCCTCATATCGAAAACGATGAGCAGGGTTGGTAGCCGTGTGGTGTCAAACTTAACTGCTGACAGAAAATGACAGACATGTTCTTTTGTTAAACAAGGCACACCTTGTTGTAACTTCCATGTACATTGTATAGAAAGAATGGCCTTTATTCCCATCCTTTGTTCTTTGTTTTTGTTACCATTACATTGCTTTTATAAACCAAAGTGGTAGAACCGACCCTCGAACTAGGTGGGGCGAGGGGGTTCCTGATGTACTAATTTCTGAAGAACTGTAAATACTTGTGGATCAATGCAATGAAGTGATGTTTCAATGCTTTATTTGTGAAAAGACTGGCTGTACAAGTTAAGATTGGATCCACAAATACTGCTAGTGTCAACCAATGTTAAATCTGCAGTGCATTTTTTTTCTTTCCACCCAGCAAATATAATTAATCTTTGGTCTCCCTTCTCGCTGAATTAATTAGGCAGAGCTCCTGCCATAAGTCTGAGAACATAAACTATTTTTGGTCTCATTTCCATTTTTAAAAGCCATTAATCTTGGCCTCAGGAAAAATATGATTTGGTGATGTAGCATTCAATGGTTTTGGTAACAAACGGCTCGACGCTACACCTATCAGAGACAGAAAAGGAGCTCCTACAGCGACATCCATCGAGGATGAGGATGCTCTACTGCTCTCCATTATTGGCGATGGGTTAATTGAATATTGTAAGGGGATTTAAATTTGGTTTACACGCATTTATAAAATCTACAGCAGACATTATACTCTAAGCTAAATTCTGTGCAACTCTCTTGTATGGGTGAAGAATTGAAAAGAAAATCCTGGCTCCGATCCACGCTGTTATGTTGAAGTCAATGTAGCAAAAAGGATCGTTACGGTAGCAGAAACCAAAAGGAACGTATTGAATTTACTAACCAACCAACCACATAACACTGGTCTGTCTGTCTTCTGTCAACGATCTGTCTTCTGTCCACATGGGTCAGCAAAGTCCACGATCCTAATCTTTACTGCATCTTCTGTCAATTGATCGAACCCGACTTTTCATAAACCTGGTGTGTCTTTCCATACAATCCAAATTAATTACATGAGATACATACAGAATAACAAGGAAAAGAAAACAAGCGCATATAGATAACCACATGTCGATTAATTCCCTGTATTTCTCGATCTTTATTGGCAGCTTATACGTAGCGTTATATCACAAATAAAATGGCGGCATTGCAGTTCTTGTGATTTGTAAGTTGTAACCCAACACAGTCAGCACGACGTAGACCGTATGATTAACCTATTGCGTTCCAAAGCCGCCGGACCGGACGGCAAGAAGATAAAAAGTAGAGTAGCAATGGACCAGTCACCAGTGGTGGTGGCGTTTGGATCTCTCCTTTATATGCAACGCCTGCCATCGTCCAGTTCCCATCACTCTTTCTACTCCAACTACTCCGGGGAATCGTGCCTAGCCAGTCTTCTTCCTCCGCAGACTCCGCGGACGCTCGATCGCCGAGTCGCCGGCCGGCGTACGTCTCGCCCCGCCCGGCCGCCCGCCATGTCGGCGGCGTTCAAGGCGTTCCTGAACAGCCCAGTGGGCCCCAAGACGACCCACTTCTGGGGACCCGTCTCCAACTGGGGCATCATCCTCGCGGTACGTACGTATACGTCCTGCTGTCGACTCCATCGGGGTTCGTTCATCTCGTTCACTTCTTTGCCGAGCGTGGTTGCTATTGGTCTTTGCTGAGAGCTCCTGATCGTGAATCGTCTCTCTTCAGGCATGAGCTGAGCTGTTGAGCTTGAGCACCAGTAGTATCTGACGGATAGTTTGACTTGAGTGAGCGAGTCACTTTCTCTCGCAGGTCATTTGTGGCAGTCTTATCTTGTCTGAGTCGCACTTGCTGGTGTGTTTCGAATCAAACAGTTTAAGCTTGAAAATGGATGCTCTGCATGCCCCTGTATACGAATCGAATCTTGCATTTCAGTCCATCCGCCGTCCATTTCCATTGCACGCCGGAATGAACGCTCAGTATAGATCACTACAGACAGACCATATATATAGCTCCACAAACTCCGCAAGCTGCAGCGCCGACGGACTTTTTTCCCCTTTTATAATTCATCATCTCCTTTGTTTTCTTCAAGAAGTGTCGTCTTCAACTTTCATTAAGATCGACTGACTATAGGTCTATAGCTGAACCGCTCTCATGGAAAAAAAAAATACAAAACCACATATTATTTGCACATATATTTACTTTCTTATCAGGGAATGAATTATTTGCACGTCCCAATCGAAAAAGGGAAAAGAAACCAAAATAATGCGATGCAAGTTGCAACCAGAATAATAGACCTCCACTCATTGATATTCAACCTGTTCACGTTAAAGTACTCCCTGTGTCCCACTATATTTGTGTAGTTCATTTGGATGTGTCTAGAATCTATTCACGGCATGTTCCATGTATCCGAATACACCCTATATCCAGGTTTAGAGAATCTTTGGTGTACTTGGTAGAAAGCTAAAACGACACGTATAATAGATAGAGGGAGTATAGCTCATAATCTTACTTGCCCGTTCTAAATTATAAGTCGTTTTAGTTTTGCTCTAAATCAAACTAGTATAACTTTTTGAACAAGGTTATATGAGAATCGATAAATACCTAGCACATTAAAGCCTTGTTATTAAACCAAACCTAAATATACATTAATAATACACACATTTGATTTGATTTTTTTAATGTTACCATGTGTGTCCATAAACTTGATCAAATTAAAGAAGTTTGACTTATGGTAATAAAATAACTTATAATTTAAAATGGAGAGAATATATTGAAAATACTCCATGCTATTCTTAACATGTGGGGCCTCCAATTTTAGTTCATGTGCCTTGTGAGAAGGGGTGGAACATGAAAGGGACATTTTCCCCAACCATTCTCCATCCAAAGGGGGCAGTGGGGCACAGATACCCAAGTGTCTTTTCCCAAAAAGAAAAAAAAATACCCAAGTATCTTTTCGGATACAGGATATGGATTCATATACCCATATCGCTTATCGGATAGGAATATGGATGCTTAAAATCAAATATGGATACAAATATTAAGTGGATATTCAGAATTTTTTGGATAATAATATCATGATAGTCGATTGGGTACCACACTTGGATAGTTGTTTGTTTTTCTAATTATATTAAGGTCTATGTGAGTTTTCAACCCATTCAATACAGAGTTGTAACTTTTTTCTTTAAAAATTACTTCTCTGTTAATAATATATTTACAATCTTAAATATTATGGAACAAATTAAAATTTTAAATTTGTTAGATATTCCAATATATTAATAAACATATATGAAAATTTATAATTATAACTTACAAATATTCTAATAAATTTGAAACACATAAAAAATATTAATTTTAAACTTTACATTCAGTATGTGTAAATACAAACCATATAAATATAAATGCTCGCATTATTTAATGTTATTTGGATTTAAGAAAGATGAAATGATTTTACTAACTTTTCGCTAATTTTCTAAAATGAAATGATTTTTAAAACACAATATCTGATTCACATTTGGTTCTATTTGTTTTCGCTCTTACTTGCCGATACATTACAATTAATAATCCCTGAGTTTTTTATTTTTTATGTATATTTTGCAGAGTGTGGCTGACACAAAAAAGCCTCCTGAAATGATATCCGGCAATATGACAGGAGGTATGTGAAAATACATGGGGATTTGTATGTCTCATAGTTCTTTTTGTAGTTTTGTAACCATCGCTGATGTTTATGTTCTTTTTGTAGTTTTGTGTGTGTATTCTGCGCTCTTCGTCAGGTTCGCATGGATGGTACGACCTCGGAACTACTTCCTTATGGTAACCCACAGCTGCAACGAATGTGTTCAGCTCTACCAGTTGTCTCGCTGGGCTAGGGCTCAAGGGTGAGGCTTCTCCACTAAATCTATTCAAGCTTAGAAATTTCCGAAAGGTCAACGAACATCATTGGCCTTGGCCACACGTTCCACTTGCATTTCAAAACACTGTTTACGTCCCCCTCCACATCGTCGACGTCGCCGCCGCACAAAAAATAGTCATATTTTGTAGTTCCTCTTTTCCCCATTATTCACTAAACTTCACTTTTCATAGTTTCATATGACAACCAAAACATTATGGAGTTTTGAGCAAAAGGAAAAGTAATGGATGAAGTTGTCGAGGGTCGCCAGAGCATGCGACCCCTCCAACCACCACCCATAGCCATTGGAGACGCACTGTCTCACTCGCGCATCCTTTGCCTCTGCTAACTAGTTGCTAACGAGGTTTCCCTGCCCCTACTCCGCCCAACTGTTGCCTCAACCTACCACGACCAGCGTCGACTCGCCGCCCACCCACCCACCACCACCACCGTCGCAATGCCAACTTGTCGCCGGAGTTCTAGGATCCGGGGAGGAAGTCAACCCTAACTCGGGCGATGGTGCAGTGACAAATGACCGACCACAGTGTGGGTCGCACGTTCACGCGGACCAAACCTACATTAGTGTTTCAAAAAGTAATGTACTAATGTTGGAGTTTGGATTGTGTAGGTTTATGGAGAAGAAAGAGCCAGGAAGCCCAACCATAAAGACTGACCCTAAACCATAGTCACTTTGAACAACGATGAAACTACGAAGCTCATGCTTCAACCATATTCCCTCCATTCCAAATTATAAGTCATTTTAGCTCTTCTAGGTGCATTGTTTTTGTCATGTATCTAGACATAATATGTATCTAGGTGCATATCAAGATCTATATATATCTAGAAAAATCAAAACGACTTATAATTCAGAACTGAGGGAGTACAATTTATATATTACCACAAGACAATATTGTTATGATGTGAAAAGCTCTGTTATACGTGTTGTAGGTTTATTTACAAATATTGACTATGCATCGAGCAAATGGTGAGCCGGTTGAGGCCCAGGGTCCCCGCCCCTGATCTGATCATGTTCAAAGTTACGCGCCCAATCCATTATTAGGTTTAGAGTCCTCTTTCACTCTGTACTGTGTATCTGTTTGCTTATTACTTTCTCCATTAGAAATTGTAGATTGGTTTAGCTTTATCCTAAGTTGAACTTTTGCTAATTTTAAAACGTTCATAGAACATTGTATTATCATCTATAATCTATAATATAAAAATACACTATAAAATATGTCTCGTTATATCTAATAATGAGTAATAAATGTAGTTTGATGCTGTAGATGCTTGTGTATTTTTTATATATTTGTTTAAAACTAGAGAATTTTAACTTAGGGTAAAGCTATAACAACTTATGATTTGGAACGGATATAGTAGAAGAGAGGAATTTTGCAACAATTTCGAAAAAAAAATTCTTCAAATTTGAACTAGAATTAGTATGTTGCTCTCTCCACCGTTGGATGCGATGATACCGCCGGGTCCACTTGCACTATTTAATTTTAATCCCCATTCTCCAACTGCAACTGCACAATTGGTCCTCTTCTTCACCAATTCCTCTGTTTCCTCCCGTTCTCCACCAAACTCCTCGCCCTCGTCGACTTGAAAGTCTCTTCCGCCGCCGCCGTCGACGAGAGCTGCGCTAGGTATCCCTCCCTGCCTCCTTCCTTCCCTCTACGGGCTGCGCTACGGCTGGTCATACGTCCTGTCGAGATCGCCGCACCCCGATTTCTCTGCTATTGTTGTTGAGTTCGATGTGGTGATTCGGTGTGCCGTATGCGTGACATGGGCAGGTGATTTCGGCTGCTTCCCCTTCCCCCATGGCGACGGCGCTCAAATCGTTCCTGAACAGCCCCGTCGGCCCCAAGACCACCCATTTCTGGGGCCCTGTCGCCAACTGGGGCTTCGTCATCGCGGTACGCCTCTGCAGTTCATGCTTGGGTTCTTACGCAAATCTGTGCGATTCGTGGACTTTAACAACGCGCCGAACGTAATTTCGCAATTATATTGATGCTAGCGGTGTCCGAGTTCTGTCAAGTCGAAAATGGCTTTAATCTGTTTATAGGGTGAGGGATTCGGAGCACCCCTTTGCTTTGTCAGAAACATCGGTAGGATTTTATTCTGGGAGCTAAGATGCTAAAGCAGAAGAATGTTCTTTCTTTTGGTCTAGTTAATTAGTCACAAAACATACTATTTAGAAGCAAGGACAAACGATTGCTGCCTTGTTGTATCAGTTGAATCTGCAAGAAAGTTCTTTCTCATTTCTCTTCTATGTGATTCAGTGTCTGATGTGAAACAAGGTACTATAAGTGTTAGTATCACAGTTAGGGCTTAAAGGGAGTTTCCATAATTCCAGGTGCTTCATGGGCTTGAATGATTGACTGTGTATTTCTCTTCTATGTGCTTCAGGCTTGATTGGACTAACAACTTAATTCAAGATGTACACAGTAGACTTAGAATCTTAGATATCTTGTTTTAGGTATATTTCAAGGTGCCTGCAAATTATTTTCAGCTGAACTTATCAGATGGGTCCTAATATTGGCATTGGAGTTATTGGACACTCAGTTGCATGGTGTAATCTGTTCTAGCTGTTAATATTTTAAAGGGCGATCTTCCTTTTGTGCATTAATACTTTGATAATGTTTGACTGTACCTTGGGTTGCTGTAAATTGTTTCTTCTGGTGGTGGGGGGTAAGCTGGCATAAAACTACAGTGACAGTTATCATTCTGAGTTACTCTATATTCAGCAACTATCTATCATCACATTGTTTTCTCGCAGGTACTAAGTAACAAATGTTTGACCTGATCATTTTTCTTGTTCCAACTAAACCACCCTAAATTTCAATTATTAAACTTTGACTCTGTAAGTTGACCCTAACCTGCAAAAGTTATTAGATTTCTAGGTAAATCCCTCTGAAGGACGCATTAACCATATATTTATGTATATAGTATACAGTTAGACTTTACATTTAGCTTCCATTACCCTCTAAGTTGTGTGTCCTTTCATTGAACTCTTTTTTTTTTCTTTTTTGTTTTGCCAACTAAACTATATCTCTTTTGATTCTGTATTTGGTTTGCAGGGTTTGGTTGACATGAACAAGCCTCCTGAAATGATATCTGGCAATATGACAGCAGGTAGGAATTACTAGGGATTGTCTCACACTGCCTATTTGATGGGTCACGTCAAACTGTTGTTGATGCTTATGTTTTTATGCAGCCATGTGTGTGTATTCTGCACTCTTCATGAGGTTTGCATGGATGGTACAGCCCCGAAATTATTTGCTTCTGGCATGCCATGCTTCCAATGAAAGCGTTCAGCTCTATCAGTTCTCTCGCTGGGCTAGGGCTCAGGGGTAAGGCTTGTGAAGTGAATTTGTTCCTTCAGCATAATAGTTCAGTACCAAGTTTGCTGTGCTAACTGTTTTCCTTTGACAGCTTTTTTTGAGTTCTGGTTCCTGTCCTATTTATCTTTTTGATAATATTGAAGCTAGCACATAAAAAAAGTTGATGTCAGAGTTTGATTTTTGCAGGTACCTGGAGAAGAAAGAGTCAGAGGCCCAACAGTAAAGAGGGTATCCAACACTGCAATCACTTGTTCAATAAAGAAAATATGCTGTGGAAAACATTCATTCTGTTGTTAAGGATTTGTTCGTGAAGTGGTGCCGACAGTGTTCCTTTAGGTAGCGTTTGGATGTAGATATTGAGCCTCAGGAATTGGCATTGGCATTAAATAGCTCCAAATGCCAGTGTTTGGATGGCTTGGAATTTGGAAGAAATCAACTTCAATGCCAAAGGGTATTTGCCACACCTGTGCCTCTTCACCGTCAATACAGAGCCATGAGCCTCTGTATTGTGAGGGGAATTGGTCTCCACACGAGAAAAGGAAGACACCGCCCGGCCATGCCCGAGCCCAAGCCCCTCCATGGTGGCCGCTTCCTCGTGCCTGAGCCTCCTCCTCTTCTTTGAGGCCGGCGCCCCTCCTCTTCTTCCTCTCGTCCGCACCACCGGGGCCATGCCCGAGCCTGAGCCCTACATGGCGGCGGCGCGTGAATCACTCGAGCTCGCGAGAGGCATGCGGGCGGCGGCGCGAGATTGGGCGAGGCGGAGAGGCGTGCGGGCGGCGGTGCGAGCTTGGACGGGCGCGCGGATGGCGGCGTGAGCTTGGACGGGTGGGCGGGTGGCGCGAGCTCGGACGGCCGAGGAGCCATCGCCATAGCCAAGCTCCACCCCTGGCCGAGGTCTGCCCGCCGCCGGCGCACTTCTCCTCGGAGCTCCGCTCGCCGCCGGCGAGCTCTATCCTCCCCAAGGCTATGGCCACCGCCGCCACCATCCCAGGTCTGCCCGCTGTCGAGATCCACCTCCCCAAGGCCATGGCCGCCGCCGCTAGGATTTGCCATCTAATTGGATTCCAGCTAATAATTCCATAACATCCAAACAACAGGTTTGGTATTGTAAGCCAATGCCAAAGCTAGCCTGATTTGGTATTGTAACAAATTCAATTCCAGCTCCTCCAATAGTGAAAACATGCAGTTTTTGTATGTTTGCGAAATGTGCTGAGGAAATTTCATGATACCTAGTGCCGTTACAATCTTCTGCTTGCTTTTCTGTGCATTTGCCAAGGCACATTTGGTTTAAAAATGTGTTATGCAATGAATTTCCCCAAATATGCAGCACATTGCTGCCTTCTTACTATTTGACACTATTTGTTTTACCTGGCTCATGTGCCCAAAATGCTTTGTAAAAGCATTGATTGAAAAAATCCATCTTAGGTCATAATGTAACTTTTAGACCCGGATAAAATTACAAATTTCATGATAGAAATTTATAATAACATTGTTGGGTTCACCACCACCCCTTAGCAATAGTGCTCAATGATTATGGTTCCCTCTGTTCTAAATTATAGATCGTTTTGACTTTTCTTTATACATAGTTTTTGATATACATAGCTTGAACTTATCAGATCGGCTTATCAGCCATGGTACAGTGTTTTTCTCTCATAACAAAATAGCATTAGCCGACTTATCGGCCGCAAAAACCATCAGCCGAACAGCACAATGTTTTTAGATAATTTGGAATGAATGGAGTATAATGGATCATGTGTCTGCTCTCCTCCCCATGCTTGTACTCTCTGGCGCTTGCGCGCACAAATGTACTCTGCCGATGACAATTGTTTTGGGGATTGTTCGAGTGGACACACTTTGCACCTAATGGTCCCTAAAACATTAGTGATCCTACTAGTTGATAGTTTTGCTGATCATGGTAAATCTTCCATATATTTCACCCTTGTGCACAAACATTTAGATTCAAAAACCACAGGGTAGTTGCACTTGTCTCCTATGAAACTCAGAAAGGTCTATCTAGAGTTGTCAGTGGAGCACCGATCCCTACTTCTCCATAGAAAATTGTAACTTTTTTCTCTCATGGGCGAAGCCCATTAATCTAGCTCAATGCTATTGTCATGTCATAACCTATAATAACTAGTGATAAGTGGCGTAGCTTGAACAAGATCTCAGGGCAGAGTGGCGTGTGTGTGGAAGAAGGGGGTTGCAAGGATATACACAAACATGGAGTATATTTGATGTTATTCTTAGCATGCATATGGTGACAATTAGTGTTTAATGAAGCAAATTTCAAGACAGGGACCATGACCACCGTTGGCTTCAAGGAAGCTATGCCTCTGACCCTGAGCGATATGATGATGTATATATGATCGTTTGATGCTTATTTGATGATAAATATAGTTTACAATAAATTAACCATATACATGGTAATATGTTGCATGAGTTATTTATTACTGGTTATCTATCAAGGTTGATCCCCATCAGAGATTTATTCTCTAGGAGATGAGAATAGGAGAAATGCTCTTGGAGACATGAAGAACCAATACAGAATCTCCCGTTCCAATCTCTGTACTTCTTGTGGTTGTTGGCTTTACTGAACCTGGTCTGATAGTCAGCCTCCTCGTTTCAGCTTATTCACTCGTATCTGGCTGAATTGTGGTTGTATGATGATATCACTTTAGCCCAACAACTTGCAAAATGTGGAAACTAATGGGTGAAGATGAATGTGTGCGTGTACAGTCATATGTATGCCACGCAGCGTATTTTGCCATGTCGGTGACCTACGTGGACTGTGGCGGTCACAGGTTAAAAATGCAACTTGACGTTCCTGAAAGCTGAACCTGTTCCACGGCGCCTCCCAAATCCCTGCGACCCTGCCCCCAACATTCGTGGGATGAAACTAGCCAACGGATTGGACATGACGGTAGCACGACTGTGGGTGGTGTTGTTGCTACAGGCGATAGTGGCCGCCCGTCCAGCCCTAGCCACCTCCTTGTGCACCAGTCAACATGCCATCCAGAACCTGCATGCAAGTCGTATTGAAGCCGAAAGCCGTGCTGACAGAGCCGAGTACCGATCAAATCAGAATTGAACAACGAACCAACAAAGGCTAGGTACGACGGGTGAAAGTTTCTCTTCTAGAAATTCTTTTTTTTGAACTTGGGTAATTCTCATTGCACTCGTGTTGACAAATCGTCAACAACAATTACATTGACACAATCCGAGGTGTTGCACGACAAATGCTCTTCCCCTTCTGTGCTACCCACACCAACAGCAGCAAGGACATGAGCTGCTTTGTTACAATTTCTGGGAACATGAACACACTCAAAACTAATGAAACTAGTAGATGCTATGAACTTCAACTCCTCTACAATGCCACCAGCAACTGACAGATCAGTTCTTCAGATGAGAGTGCTTGTTTAACTTTCAGCGCATCCGTCTCCAAAATAAGCCGGCCAATTCCTAGATTACAAGCATCTTGGACTCCCTGAAGACAAGCAATTGCTTCCGCCTGGAAAGCATTCAGCAAATGATTGACACGCCCCCATCCACTTAGCACAACATCTCCGTCGTTGTCCCTGATCAGAAAGCCCCAACCACCACACTTCTTTTCTGGGATGAAAGAGGCATCACAATTCAGTTTCATATATTCCTCCGGTGGCGGAGCCCAGCGCACCACCTTTTGTACCTGCGCTCTTTGCTGCGCTTGTGAGGGATCACCCATCTCCCCAGCATAGATTTTGATAGCTCTCGCCACAATCTCTGCTGGACGCCTGCGTCCCTCCTCCCGGACAAGATTTCTTTTTGTCCAGATGAACCACAGAGCAATGAGCATAAGTTGCCGCCTGTCATCTTTAGCCTTCAGTATCTGTTCAATCACATCGCGAGCTGTACCAAGGCCGCACAGGCTCGTCCATTCCTTTTCCAGTTTCAATTCCCTCCAGATTTGTTTGGCCAGTTTGCACTTCAAAAAAAGATGGGCACCATCTTCATCCAGTCTATTACAAACCGGGCACGTTGTGTCAAGCTTCATTCCCCTCCGTTCCAAATTTTTCCTCAGCGGGTGACTGTTACGAGCAAAGCGCCATATGAAGTGTTTCACCTTATTTGGGCATTTAGATTTCCATATCTTATCCCAGATTGGATCGACTTCTGATGTGCTTCCCCCCTGCGCACTTCCTTTATCTTTCTTGCGTAACAAATCATCCCGACAGATTTTGTAGGCCCTCTTGACACTGAATAAACCATGATCATCATAGTGCCAAGCAAGAAAGTTATCTCTCCCTTCATGCACCGACAAAGCCAATATAATCTCTGCATCCTCCTCCCAGAAAATATCCCTGACCAATTCAACATCCCAAGAGCCGGTCACTGGGTCTATTAGATCAGCAACATTTGTTAGGACATTTCCCCTTCTAGGGGTGATCGGTCTTCTCAATATGCCTCTAGGAATCCATGGATCAGACCACATCTTGATATTTCTTCCATCACCAATTCTCCATATAACTCCCAACTTCATCACCTCCAAACCCCTCAATATGCTTCTCCAAGTCTAAGACATCCCACTCTTCGGTTTGGCCTCCAAAACTGAAGTATCTGGATAATATTTGGCCTTCAGATTTCTAGCACACAGAGAATCCGGTTTATCCCATAATCTCCAACACTGTTTCTCTTCTAGAAATTCTAGGACGACTTACAAGCCACGAGCAAGAGTGCCCTCATTAAACAGGTGGGCCACCTTCTGATTGACTAAATTGCTCATTAGCTGTTGGGCTAATCCTTGTTATTAATGGTTTTTCTAAGTTGAATGGTTGTTTAGGTTAGGCGGCGTTACTAGCGCCAGACGTCCGGACGTACGCCCACGGCTGCTTGTTTCCCATGTGTAGCGAGTGGACAGCTCGGACCTTAGCTTGCTCCGGGGCCACCACGCAGGCATCATGCCGCCATCGGCCCACCACCCGGGCTCAGCACCTCCGCGGGCGTCAACCTACTCGTCAGGTAGGGTTTCCCCGTCGAGCTCGAACTGCCGTGGTGAGATGGAGGGAAGGGAAGGAAGGAGAGGGAGAGGAGAGAGAGGAGAGGATGAGGCACGACGTGCGAGGTAGGAGCCGAAGCCCTGCAACAGGCCAGTGTCCGCCAGCCACTCGGTGCCATTGCAACACGTGCAACACCCGCTCTACTTTTGAGACATTCATATGAAATATTTACAACATACATCTGAAGGCATACGAGACACTTGAAACATGCGTCTGAAACACTTGCAATGTGAAACATATGCAACATCCAAATAAATACACTTGCAACATACGCCTGAAAAAACAGATAAAACATTTAGAACAGATGCTTGCAACATACGTGTACAATCATTGCAACATCTGCAACATTCTAATATACTTTTGCAACATTAATACGAAACACTTGCAACATACCTTTGAAACATCTAAAACACTTGAAACATACACTTGCAACATGCGCTAGTCAGAGGGACGTCAATGGCCCAGCGTACACCCAGGCCTCCCCTTCCTGCCGACGAGTGAGGTTGATGGGGTGTAGGCGCAGGACTCCCCAAGCGCAGGCGCATGCCTCCTCTTCCGTGATGGGTGAGGTGGATGGGGGTGCGGCGCGGGATGGTGGCACGGACCACGAAGCAGCCAGGGATGGGGTGCGGGTGCGGCGCTGCCACACTGGAGAAGGCCACGGTGGGGGTGGAGACGAGCGGCTCTGTCTTTTCTTTTTGAGATACAGAGGCAGAGTGCGGGTGCACTCTAAAGCAGCGAGCGGAGTACGGGTGCAGGTCGTCCGAAGGGATGGACACCCG